AAAAAAAAAAAAAAAAAAAAAAAAAAAAAAAAAAAAAAAAAAAAAAAAAAGAGTGCATCTTCCGACAGGAACTGGGAATTTTCATCCTCCGTTACAATGAAGATTAATGAATGTACCTCATTCATAACATAAACCCACCAACCAGAACAGTATAAGCGGATGGACAGCAACGATAACTGACTGGGACAGTCAGAACAGACTGGCAATCCAAGGGGGGTGACGATCCACAGATGGAACGTCAACGGACTGGGAAACGTCCTGTTCGAGGAAGACAGACTTTGCGACATCCGGCTAGGCCTCACAGACAAGAAGAAACCAAAACCAGACATAATCCTACTACAAGAAACCCACCTTTCCAATCTCACAAACCAAGCCAGAATCAAGAGGACAGTGGGAAATTGTTATGGGCCGCTGTCCGTTCACACTACGGTCCAACAAAGATGGTCTCAGCAAACGAGGCACAGCAATCCTTTTTTTTTTTTTTTCCTCAAACAGAACCTCAGGGTTCCGGCTCCTTTTCCATTCTGGGGAGCATCAGTCCGGTTCCGATTCCACCGGGGACTCACCTCCAAAATCTGGTCAGAAGGACAGGTGCTCCACGGGGAAGGGGACTTATCAGAAGGAAGATGGTCCTGGATCGAAATCAGGTGGCAAGGAGAAGAGCTTAGGATTCTGAACGTATATGCGTCCAACACAGAGAACGAACGGATACTGTTCTTTGACAGCATTAAACCGCTCTTCCCGAATCCTCTACCAATAACCATAGCAGGCGACTGGAACACAACATTGGACCCCAGTCTGCCTAGATCGCATCTCCCGATTCTTGCTGCTGGGCCCCATACGAGCAGCTACTCACATCCGGAACATCGTGACAGAGTTCGAACTGATCGATCCGTACCGAACCCTTCATCGTCGCGCGAAAGCATTCTCAGTAATCAAACCGAGCAAACCGCACATCACTCTCAAGGATCGACTTTTTCCGGATCTCCGAGCTCCTACAGGGTGCAATAAAGGAGGCCAGAATCCTACCAGCAGCCGCCTTCAAGGCGCTGGATCAGAAACCCACCTACCTGCTCCTCAACTTCAACTCCCCGGTAGAAAAAGGCCAGGGCTTCTACAGACTAAACAACTCTCTCCTCTCCACAGACCGTCCGGCAGAGGCAGTCAGATGGAACTGGCTGCTAATGCGACAGGACGAGGCGAGGCGACCTAACAGACACCAATGATGGTTCATAGACAGCTACGCGGACCTATCCCAGACTGCTTCGTCCAAGTCGAGAAGTATAGCACCAGAACGCAAATTCAGAAAGGAGGAACTCCAAATTGCTACGACTATAGCGGAAGCTAACCTCGCTTCAGATCCCACTAACATCTTCTATCATGACGTACACATGTCCACCAAAGACGAGTTGAACGAATGGAGGAGATGGGAGGTTAGGGCCTTACAACTACGCACCGGAATGACAGACTACAGCCTCAACGAATCCATGACAAAGTTGTTCTTCTCTAAAATCAAGGCCAATGCTAGAAACAACATGATCGAGAGGCTGAAAGACCCAGCGGACCAGGGCAAGACAAAGTCAATCGGCACAGGCATGGTAGGATCGCCAGCAGATCTTTCTACGCCGACCTCTGTGAGGCCAAGACCTTTCCCCCCCTCTTGTAGTAACATCACCGCTTGCCAACACATGATGTCGTACCTAGACAGGACAATCACGTGGGAGCAGACGGAGGACCTGCACAAACCAATTACCCTTGGGGAACTTCAAGCAGCCTTGTCCCAGAGGGGGAACAACAAGACACAAGGAATCGATGGCCTATCCAAAGAATTCTGGGTCTACTTCTGGCCGATGTTGGGCAAGGTAACGACCTCCTCAACTTCATCAATGACAGCAAGGAAAAGGGTGGTCAGGGTCAGGTTTTAAGCACGAGTGTGGTCTCTCTAATCCACAAGAAAGGGGAAAAAGAAACCTAAAAACTATGGACCGATCTCAGTTCTTACGACGCCCTACAAAATCCTAGCAAAAGCATTTAGCCAACAGGATCATAAAACTAACGGATAAAGGTTTTCACATTGACCAAGCAGGTTTCATTCTAGGACGATACATACTAGACAATGTGATGGCCCTGAATGAGGCAGCAAAGAAGAATTAGAACATCACAGAAGAACGGATGCAGGCTGTGATCCTGCTTTTTTAACTTTTTTTACTTTGAAAAGGCCTATGATCAAGTTAACTGGGACTGCCTCCATAGCTGTATGGAGAAGATGTGAGTCGGCCCGAACTTCAGAGAATGGGTAAGAGTGCTCTATGGAGACGCCACGGCCAAAGTCCAGATAAACAAAATATCGTGAGATACTTGCCCGATATCGAGATCCGTTCACCAAGAAGACCTGCTTGCTCCCCCATTTTTCTGTTCATCATGGAAACCATATCCTCCTTCCTCCTCAAAGACCCCTCCATAGACCACCTCAATGAATAGAACTACATCTGCCTCCATGACTTCGCCCTACCCACGCCGACGACCTTCCGGTTCTCATCCGTGCAAACTCCTCCTCTTTTCAAGCCCTGGTCAGAGCTATGAAAGCCTTTCGACTCGCATCAGATATGAAGGTGAACTGGTCTAAAACGGAAGGTTGGGCCCCCCCAACCCGAAGACCTACCCATCCATGGTCCACGGTCGACCAAGCACTCCGGTACTTGGGCATCATGATTATTAAGGACGGCATTTGGCAAGAGATGGGACGGAATCTAATTGCCAAAGCAATAACCCGCCTAGCTTCGTGCAAGAAAGCCCAGACTTCTCTCCTGCGCAGAGCACTAGTCATTAACACAACAATATTCTCCACACTATGGTACATGGCATCCATATGGTCCCCGCCCAATGATGACCTGAGGAGCCTGAAGGCTAAGGCCAGATGATTCCTGTGGACCGGTGACCCCAACAGAACCACCTGCATAAACAAAGTGGCCTGCATCATCGACCGGAAACAGGAGGCGATCGCCCTGCAGATGAAATGGATAGTAAAGATCCTAACCAAACAATCGATTCCCTGGACTAAACTGTCCCTAGACAGGAACCTGGCACCTGTTAACATGATTGGCCTGTTTTGGATCATGGCCAAAGACTGGGCACTCAAATCAGAGAGACCAGCGAGGAAAACCCAGCAAGCACTGCCCACCCAGCCCAATCCCACGCCCAACACCTCTTGGACACCGATTCTGAAGGCAAGGCGTCGGTTGGCACCAAACAAGAGAGGGGCACCGAGCAACAAAGACGAAGTCTTAAGGCAGCCCCTGTTCTGCAACCCCCAGATCAAAGGCGCAGAAGGCAAGCCCTGGACCCTCCGGGCTAAATCCTGGGTAGAGAGAGGCGTCTGGCAGGTCAAACATTTATGGTCCGAGGAGCGACAGGACTGGCTATCCGACCAAGAACTCCGGACTCCCCTGAAAGGCTGCCACTCCATGAGCACCAACATAGCGGAAATCCTCCAAAGCATTCCTCCCCCATGGACATCCCTCCTAAGAGAGGACTACACATGGAAACCAGGAGATTGTGGCCTACCCATCTCCCAGACCTCTCCAACAAGAGCCTTCCACTTCATATCTAGACCGGACCCAACCAGCTATCAGGCCAATTTCATATCCTACCCCATCACCAAACACAGTCTGTACGAATTAGAAGCTCAAAACAAAGCACCTCAGAACGAACGGGTAGATACCTTCTTGCTCAGGAAGGTTAGAACCTCGCACAGTAAGTCATGAGTCATCTTCCAATCAGAACTCAGAATTGAGGAGCTCAAATTCGATCCAAAGGGGTCGATATGGGAGCAGGGTACCACCGGGAAGGCAAGAACGATAACGGAATATGACGTAAAGTTCGGGTACGACCTCGGACTGTAGACCACAGACCCGGACCCCAGGCTGACGGAGAACTGGAGAAACACCCTGCACTTAGACGTCAACGTTGCAACACCCCTCACCATCCCATGGACCAAATACCTTCTCATCAGACCGATCAGAATCCGCAGTATGCAGTGGCTCATAGCACAAGCAGCCCTTCCCGTTAACCAATGGCTTCACGAGAGAAGGAAACACTCAGACCCAGACATCTCAGAGTTCTGCACGCTGTGTAACAACAGCGTGCCCGAAGACATCCCCCACTGCCTTCTCTCCTGTCCGGAAGCGATCTGGATCTGGAACTTTGGTCGATCCTCTTCGCAACACCACCTCCTAACATCCCCCCTCTAACTATCCTACTCCTCGCTAACACCCCCAGTAACCTCAAGGGCAGCAGGGAAATTTGGTTCAATCTGCTCAGGAAACTGGCACTCTGGGTCATATGGAAACGCAGATGCACACGGACAATCGAGGGAGCCGAGTCGGCACAGGAAGAAATGTGGTCTCTATTATCCGGGGAAGATGGCGGAAGATAGCGGCTTCTATGACACACAGACCAGAAAGACAAGCAAGCAAAAGACACATTCCTGAGAGACTGGCTTCTAAGGGGCAAATTCGCTACCCTTACTAATAACAGGCTGAGATGGAAGAGGTGGTATCAGCCCTAGCCATGAGAATAGG